CAGAAAGGATGAAATGTCACGATTACTAAATAAAAGAATATAAGCATAACTTCATGAACCCTGAAGGGCGTCCAGGGGTTAATCAGACAGATAAAGTTCATCATAGAAATGGTGTCTCTTCTGGATAATTGGGCTATTAGGGGAAAAAAAAATTGTAGAACTAAATCGTTGCAAAATAGAAGACTTCTGAAAGGAGATAATACTACATTGAGATGACACCTGAAATCCTGAATCCACTGCCTTTTTGATTCCTTTGAGGTTTTATGAGTTCTTATCCTGCAAAAAGCATAAAATTGTTGTCCTTCATTGTTCAGCTACATGGAAAAAAAACCCAAAACCCAACAAATAAAACACATAACATAAAAAACATAATTAAGAAGTGAAAATTCTGTTTCCAACTCCAGCCTTTCTGTGCAGAGTACAGGGTCCCTGGAGATTACAGAAAAACAACCAAAGCATCAAGCCAATTCCCCAATCTCGGAGTGCTGGGTATCCAATCTCTGCCTTCACAAGCACAATAGGTCTATTTTTAGGAAGTGTACTATGGTATCATGTGGCCATCCTAAACTGCCCTAGAAAGTTGGCTGCTCTGCTACAGTTAAAAATTCCCTCTCCTCCAGAAGCTGAACAGCACACTCCCCTAAATTCCTGGCTCTCCATCTGCATTTCCTAGCACACAGGACGGGATCACGACTGGTTTAAAGCTCGGTTTTTGACAAATGATGTGAAAAGCAATGAATCATGCTCAGCAGCACTGCTTCAATCACATGTACATGTACACAGCACACACATCCCTCACACAGCCAAAGAAAGCTTCTGTTTCCCTGATAAAGATGAGAGAAAGATGTCAAACAAGACTTTTAGGCAATAGTGATTAAAATACTTGGCAAAGTCCCATGGAGTCATTTCCATCCTCACTGTAACTTTGTGTCCCGTCATTCTCCTTCCACACCTTACAGCAAGACAGTTGAGCGTCATTTTATAAGTCTACAGCTGACAAGTACATAAAATAACATTGTCAGGGGCAGCAATCGAGACCTTCATCTTCCCACAGCCCTGACTGCTGGAGCAGAAAGCACAGAAAGGCATTTGTGTGTTTGCCTGGCTGCAGAGTTAACTCCATGTACAGTAACCATGAAATGTCAGTACTATATTAATATGTCAATTTATTGACTGTGTTTAGGAGTTTTTTTCATTTTTAGAACAATCTATAAATCATGAAAGAGAAGTTGAGACACTGTATACTGCTGACCTGAAGACCATAAAAAATTATGGAGCAAGACCAGTTAAGCAAATTATTTTGCTGTAACCTGCTTTTCCCACACACGCTGTGGCAAGCTGAGATTTGCTATTCTGCTTTCACAACTGGTTAGTATTTTACAAGCTTTTACCAGACAACGCTGGAGGAATCTTGGAGCAATTACAGATTTAACTGTCAGTCTTTGGGGCAAGTTTTACTTGCTTCAGAAGTCTCATCAAATCATAAGTTACTCTCCTCAGAGGAGAGAAAGTTCTCTCACCACAGTCCACACACCCCCCAAAAGAACCAGGTATCACCACTGAAAATGACCCATAAAAGAATTATTCAGATCAGCTCATCTGATAGACATTACGTCTAACAAACTCCTATTCTGCCTCTTTTCTGTCCCCTCCCTACTAAGTTGGTGACATCAGACAGCTGAAACAGCTGGTCTGAAGATAAATATGTGCAAGTCATGGTCCCAGTTGTGGGGGGTGTAAAACACACACAATTCAGCTGTCACCACAAAAGAGTACTCAAATTTTTAATTCAGAAAAAGATCTGAGTTTCACTTTCATTCTCTCCTGTGGCACAGAGCTGTAAAAGGTGAGGAAATGTAATGATGCAGGTTTATCATCTGCATGCCACTGTTTGCTTTGCTCATTCCTATGTACACATATCCCAGTTTGTATTAACATTTGGATCTGTACAATAAATAAAGACATAAATTATTGCACAGAATACTGCAAGGATTCTGGCCTTTGCAATTCAGACACTGGCAACAAATCTAAGCAGCCATCATGCCACTATGAAGATTCTGAGCATTTTATTAATTATAGTTTTTTTCAGGAGGGGAAAAAAGGGAGCAAGTCAATCTGGAGATGAGTTCCTGACTATCAAGACACAGTAGAAAATTGGATTCTATTGTCATGAACATCACAGGGCTGGAAGTGGTTTACCTACATCTGAGTCTTTGCTACTGCATTTCACAGAATGACAGAATGGTTTGGGTGGGAAGGGATTTTAAAGCCCACCCAGTGCCACACCTTGCCATGGGTAAAGACAACTCTCACTATCCCAGGGTGCTCCAAGCTCCATCCAACCTGGCTTGGACACTCCCAGGGATCCAGGGGCAGCCACAGTGGCTCTGGGCACCCTGTGCCAGGCCCTCCCCACCCTCACAGAGAATTCCTTGCCAATATCCCATCCCATTCCCCCTTGTCCTGGCACTCCAGGCCCTTACAAACAGTCCCTCCTCTCCATCTTTCTGTCTGCTCCCTTCAGGTACTGGAATGCCACAATTAGATTGCCCCGGGCCTGCCCTTTTTCCAGGCTGATATATCCCGATTCTCTCAGCCTTTTATCCCTAGAAGTACTTTGTCAAGTCAAACCGAGCAGCAGCACATCTCTCACATTAACTACACCAGCTTATTTTTTACACCAAGCCCACTGTTTCCTTCCCTGCCCACAGCCAACACACTCAGAGCCTCCCTGTATCTAAAATGCCACAAAGAAAATCTCGGTACTAACAGGCATCAGACAAGCTGCAACACTCACAATGAATTCAGACTTCAAAGTGTAGGTGGGAAACCACAAATTGGAGCCTGTTGACCTTTCTGTGATTCATAAAGCAGCACAGCAGTGGTTCCCAACAGGCCAAATTCACTGCCCTGGAGCCTGAATTGGTAACAGCAATTTGCCATTTACAGAGTGAGTAACAGGGTGATCCTAAGGCACACTTGGAATGAATTTTTGTGCCTATTCAGCCTGTTTAGCTAAAGCTCATCTTTCTCACAGTAGGAACACCCAAGTTTATTTCAACCCGATGGGAAAAGGAAGTTCTACCACAGGTGTAAGCAACAGGTACCACTGAAACCAGGATGAGTTGGCAGATGGCTGGGGGGGTGGAAAGGGAAGCAGTGTTGAAGTGGTTCCAAGCAGGTTCAAACTGTCACATAACACAAACATGTGAGTCATTTTGCAACCACCACTGTAATTCTATCTAAGACTGCCTCTTGGGAAACAGAAAGACACTTACATTCCAATACAGTCGTACGTAACAGGCTTTGACTGACAAATGTATATTAAATTCTCAACTGAAATTGTAAAAAAAGGACTTATGTAAGGCGAGAAGTTGTAAGTGTTTCGAAACGGTTCAAAACACACGTACTTTGTTGTTTCTGGCACACAGGAAACGCTGTTTGTGAAGGCACACGCAGCATTTAGCAACAAACACGATAAACATCCACAGAATTTACTGATCGGAGCTACAGGACTCACTGTCATATGATGCCATATCCAGTGCCAGAGCGTCCCGAATAAAATAGGGTCAAGTGTACTTTGTAAAATTCACGAGAAGAAACCTATGTAGTACTCGGTGTTATCTACGAAACCACTGTATAAAAACCACCTTGCCAGCACACACGGCACGGCCAACATCAGCACAAACTGATGTACAGCCAAGATATCAAGGGCACCAGCGGTGTTTACACAGCATTAAGCCAGAATTTAATCCTGCCAGCACTGACCCAGCAAATTGCCTGTCTTGAGAAACGCTCCGTGCTCCTATAGCAGAAGTTACAAGGAGATTGTATCAACCACAACTTGCTTAAGAAGGGGAGAGGTGAAACAGGTGGCCAAACAGGCATTTAAAAAATATATACGTATTAAAAATAAAAGCAGGAGTTAAAAGCTCATAGAATTCGGAAGTTCCAGAGGCGGCAGGCGAGCTCTCGCGGCCAGAGCCACCTTTGTCCCGGTTTCCGATGTGGAAGCGCTGGCCTTGTGTAAGGCAGGGACGGGACAGAGGCCGGGAGCCCCGGCCCGGCCCGGCCGGGCGCCCATGGTTCCGTTATGCGGGAGGCGCTCCCAGCGGGCAGGGCACGGCTCGGTAAGGCAAGGTAGGGCAAGGCAGGGCAAGGCAGAGTAAGGCAAGGCAAGGCAAGGCACTGACGCGCCGCTCGCAGCCCGAGGCCCCGTTCCCCGTCCCGCCCCGGCACTCACGTCGAGAGCTTCCTGGTCCAGAAGAGCCCGCCGGGCCAGAGCTCCTGCAGCTGCACGGCGCGGGCCAGGTTGCCCTTGATGTGCTCCAGGAAGCGGGCGGCCTCTGCTTCCAGGCGCTCGCCATAGGGCAGCAGCTTGTTGTAGACGATCTCCTTCTGCGGCGGCCGGGCCATGTCGGCGCTGCCCGGGGAGGGCCGGTGACCGCGGCCGCCGCGCCCCGCCCGCCCCGCTCGGCTCCGCGCCGCTCACTTCCGGCGGAAGGCGGGCCCGGGGCGGCTCCGGGCGCTCGGCGGGCACCGGGCCGGGCCGGGGCTCTGCCGGGGGTGGCCACCGCGGCGCTGGCTTCGCGCGGAGGGGCGGAAAGGCCGCGGTGCCCTGAGGCCGAGCTCGGGGCTCGCGCTCCGCGGCTTTGCGGTTTGTTAAAAAGCCCTTCTCCTAAAGCTGCCGCCAGCTGGACGCGTAACTCGGGAGTGAGCGAAATTCATAGCAATGATTCCCGCCCGCCGGCTGCTCTGAGCGGGCGGGAATCATTGGCTCTCGCTCAGGAACACTCGGTGTGAGCTGGGGATGGAGCGGTGCTGGAGGTAACGGGGCAGCCCCCATCCCTGCAGAGGTGCAGGACAGACCGGACACTCGGTGCCGTGGTCCGGCTGACACGGACCGAGGTGTCGGGCCATAGGCCGGACTCGGTGATCATCTCCGGGTGATCATCTTTGCCAGCCTAATTGATTCGGTGGTGCCGTAATTAGCCCCGGCGTTTGATAGCAGATTGCGCGGCTGCCTAAGAGGCTTATTTGAAATAATAACGCTAGTCAGGAGCGCAGAGCTCGCCCGCGGGCCGTGGGTGTGGGATAAACTGCTGAGGGATATGTGATAACAGCACTGATAGCTGTTATCTCCAGCTGTCCTAATATAATTGAATTTCCCCTCAAGAGTTACATCGTGGCCGTACAACAGCTGCAAACTGATTAGATTTAAAGCTACTGACAAAGGCAAATCCTGTTTTCTGATCTTTTTGCTCAAACTAGCTCTGCTTAAAATTAAAAAAAAAAAAAAAAATAGAAGGCTAACTAAATTCTGGAACCCGATAGAGAGAGGAGAAACACCACAGAAAACCTGAGTATGACAGGCAAAGGCATCGTGGCATCTTCCTGAGGAGTGCACTCACATCATCTACTTTCTTCACCCTCCTAGACATGTATTTTTAATAAAGGAAGCAGGATTTTGTTTAATGTCCCATCCTTCTGAAATACTCCTCCATTCCTAGAAGATTTTGTGTCGCGTGATCTCGTGGATCACATCTATCAACTTTTACATGATTACAAAATAGCTGGACTTCACTAAAGTACATCTTGGTTTAGCATTTTTCTGGTGAAGACAGAAATAAACAGTATGAAATGAACAGTTTTATCACCAATTCAGTCATGGAAAAATTGGCCCAAAAGCTGTAATAAAAAAACCAATATCTACGGTTAGTGAAAGGGGTAAGTGAAAATACGTGTGCATCGAAACTGAAAAGTCTAAAATTACTTGTTTTCTGTCACTTAGAGGCAATTCTTGGTAATCACAATGGTGATTTGTTCAGACATTTCCAATGTGGGAAAGTGTTTGTGAAATTTGAAGCATACAGTTTGTTTGGACTTGGATGGGAAAAAAAATCAAAATTCTAGCCCAATTTTTTGAAGTCGAAGTTGGCAGATACATCAGGAGCTTCACAGCTGCGTTCTGTTGCTTGCAACCATGTTATAAAAAATTGCTCCTGCCCTTTCTAACCCAAGTTAAAACTAAGCCTTAATTTTGCAGGCATTTTGGATTATTTGGCATGTGAATGGACACCTCTGACCTCAGGGAGACTCTTCTGTCTGAGCCAACAAGCTGCTTTCCCAGCTGCGGCCTCAGACACATGAATGCCTTCCACCAGGATTAAACACTCAAGTTTTGGGGAAAAACATGCCAAGTTATGCCATCAGCACCTCTGACAGCCATCCTACTAACTCATCTGATCTCCATTCCTGCTCCATTCATAATTACAGCAGTGAGCATACCTGTAGTGCTTGCGTTTTGAATGTATGTTCTGCATGTTGATTCATTTACTAATTACATTTAGTAATTATTTAAAAAACCCTAATCCTTTCCCCTCCTTGCTCTGCCACCATTCTGCTCTTTAAAAAGAGAGGGGGAAAAAAAAGACACATTTTGCCAAGTGAGTCAAAAATAAATGTGTTGTTCAAGTTTGCAATATGTTTTGGCTGCAGCAGTGTGTGAGAGCACATTTGGTTCCCGAGTCAGATGATGAAGGACGGGGCTTTCATAACACAGGACCCGTCTGTGCCACTTCACATCAACAGCTTCTTCCTCTCTCATTAAGTAGGAGGAATATGAATTGCCAGCAACCCAAATATGGCAGCCACCTGTTGGTTTTGGCATTGCCTCCTGAGAACTGATGAATCCGAGTGGTGTGGTTGTGAGAAAAACACAATCTTCCCATTCATGAGGAACTTTGAGTGCTGACGGCGGCGTGGGTCACGCTGGGGGTTGTTCACGTGTTCCCCCGCTGGGCCGTGCCCGAGGGCAGCCAGCACCAGCACTGGCACAGGGATTTGGGAATCTTGTCACTCCAGCCTTGCTTCCTGCTGCCTCATCTTAGCACAGATGTTTTCCTTAGTGACCCATCTGTTCTCTTCCACCTAAGTTAAAAGCTAGATAATTTTTGAGTGGCAGATTTCTAGCTGTTTTCAGTACCTGAGGCCCTTCCGGTACCAGAAAAATGGAGAGGGACATTTCACAAGGACCCGGAGTGACGGGACAGGGGGGGATGGCTTCAAACTGAAAATCTTAAATTAGATATACACAAGAAATTCTTCTCTGTGAGGATGGGGAGGCCCTGGCATAGGAAAGCTGTGGCTGCTCCATCCCTGGAAGTGCCCAAGGCCAGGCTGGAAAGGGCTTGGAGCAACATGGGATGGTGGAAGGTGTCCCTGCCCATGGCATGGGGTGGAACTGGATGGGCTTTAAGCTCCATTCCAACCTAAACCATTCTATGATTTTACAGTTTGGAGAAAAATAGCCAATGCAACAGGAGCTTCATATTACCTGTATCATACCTGTCCTAGTCTGTGACCCCCCCATATCTCACAAAGCCCCACTAAGGAATAAAGAGTAATAGCTGCTTTTTGATGAGGATCCTCAGACTTTCCCTCAGCCCCATGTTTCTAAACTGATCAGTCATCCAAAGCTGGCACTGAAAGGTACCTAAGAAGCAAGTCAGAAACATCCCTGTCGCATAAACTTCTTTTTTCCAGAGAATTTGTCTATTTGGGGGATGAGGGCAAGAGTCATTACAGCATCTGAATGAGGAACTTAAAGTTTCCTGTGTAGTATGGGACAAAAATAGGTTCTTCTAAAGTGTGATTCAGAGGAACTAATTTTAGATGCCTAAAATAAGGCTGTATAAATACTCCATGACATGTTTGAAGTTGGATGGGGAGGCAGGTTCAGTGTCACCTACAGCACATACGCTGAATATTGTTCTTTTTCTGCAATGCCTGCTTGGATCTGTGTGTTCCAATGTAAGTAGAACACTTCTGTTGAGCAGAGACAAGAGGCCCTTGTGAACAGGTTCAAGTGTTATTGTGGGCACCTGTATAATTTTTAAAACTCTATTACACAGACAAGGCTAGCCAAATAGGTGCAGCACTGTTATGCTTCACTTTACATTCCCAGTGGTTCTGTTTATGAGAGTTAGATTCATCCTCAATTATATCCATTCATGAGATATTGTTTGGCCTCTGCTCTTTTCCAGCTGAACTTAGTGGGTTACTGTGCTTACAATGGACAGTCTTTGTACAAGAACAGGACCTCAATTCCCCTTGGTGAAATAAATTAATTTATGGCAAAAGTGTTTTTTCCTCTCCACTCCCTGGATTTGTTCTCTTTTGGTGCCTTATTGCCTAAGATTTGGAAAGTGTAATTGTCCCAAACCCACAGCAGAGATTCTGCCTGTGACAGGCTGTTTCCTCTACATGTCTGAAACTCCCAAAGATATCCCTGGAAACTATTGTGCCTGCAGGGAGAAACAGCAGTAGACTTGAACCTTTTTGTAAAAGGTTCTTTCCAAATTACTCACAGCTATTTGAAATAAATAATAATTCCTTGGACATGACAGAAATGCAGCCAACTTTGGGGAAAGAGACATTAGGGGTTTTTTTCTGTTCTTCTTGAGCCACTGAATTGGATTTCTCTGTCTCACTCTCTTGCCAAACAGAAACCAGCCTCAGAGGAGCATGTGATGACAGCAACCTTGCAATGGTTATTCCTAGGGATTCTGCTGTTCTAGGAAATCAAGGAAGCAGTCCCTTGGCAGCCTGCAGTCACTCACATAGAAACTGCTCATTATAGACATGGGTGCCTGTGTTTGCCAGAGAGGATTGTGACACACCTTACCCCGAGTGCCTGGGTAGCTGATCGTATTTATTGTTTTTAAGTGGCAAATGCCTCTGTTGTGGCTTCATCTGCAGTTCTCTGATTTGTCTGTTCCTTGTCAAGATGAAAAACTGGAAATGTCTATTTCAAAATAAAGTAAAGAAAATGTATAAGGTCTGCTTTCCCAACCCAGGATAAATCAAATAACAAGCAAAAATCTTTGCCCAGGTTTTCAGTCTCGTTTCAGGCACATTCAGCACAAATAATTGTGTTTATCATGGCCACAGCTCAAGTACTTGTTCAGGCTTTGATTCTGTGGGTGGATTGTGTGTTCACTGTTTGGACATGTGGATCAGAAGTATTTAAATATTCATGAATTCTGGAGGAGAAGCAAGCTCACTTAAATATTCCCTTAAGCAACCAATCCTTTCTCTCCTGCTAAAGAATTATCTATCCTTTGCTCCTGGCTGAGTGGTTTTGTGCACGGAATCTGCATGGGAGACTTTTTGGCACATTTCTAAAGCAGCAGCTTGTCTCATGGGGTGTTAGGGAGACTCCCAGCAGATTAACAAACCTTTAGGAGGATCACATGGAACAAACTCGGAGCTCTGCGATGTTCATCTGGTCTAACCTGGCATGTTGTTTATGTCTATGCTCTGGTAACATGGGGATAATAAGTGTAATTATGTCAGGGGCATGATTATGGTAGTGCTGGGCCTGCTGATTAACACCAGGATTCAAGGAATTGTAAATTGGTTTGTTATTGTCCCAGGTATCCCATTAAGAAGAGTCCAAGGTGAAACAATGACTGTAAATTAACACTTCCTTACAACCTCGGAAACATAACTGTCAGAAAGGCCATTCAGGATAGAAGGAATGTTCCAATTAAAGAGCACAGGAGGCCTGTAAATTCAGGGATATCCCAGAGAGAGGAAAAAGTTGCTTTTGCCACATTTGTGTGTTGTTACTTCAAGGCCAAGCCCAGTGGAAAGCTGAGCCTTGCTTGGTACAAAGGCAGCTGCTGCCCTTCTGCTGGGCAAAGCACTGAGAACTGAAAGAGCTGAGGGGGTTTAGAAAATTCAAGTGAGAAACAGAATCTGCCTTGAACAAAAAGAGCAGGAAGAAGACAGCTTGTAATCTCCAGAGAGGGCCCTGCAGGACAATCCAGTGGGCGTTCACTGTGGCTGTGATATCACTATCTACAACCCCCATGTGTTTTCTTTTTCAGTAGTATTGCAGTGGATGCATACAGAACCTGATTCATGCTTTCTTGGCTTTGCCAAATGCCTGCTCAAATCCTGTAGCCATGCTCTGAATTAATCTGCTTACCCAAAAGCATTGCTGGAAAAATGATTGTCCTTGGAGATTCCAGCCCCCTTTGCCTGGGAAAGATAGAGCCATCAGCATCTGGAGTGGTATTAGCAGGAGGCTTGACAGGCTCTGAAATTAGAAAAAACTGAACCAGAATCACTCTGGTTACCCCTAAATATCCCCAGCAAATGAGCACCTCTGAAAAGCAGGGAGTTTTGAGATGGGAAGTCTGGAGCAAAGTGAATTTGGGGTGGTGTCAGTGGTGCCAGAGGTGTTCCCAAGTTCACAGCACCCAAGAGCTGGATGATGCAGAGCACCTCTGCATCACAGAAGCTACAGCACCCTGAGTGCAGCCACAGCCAGCCCTGCCAGCCAGGGCCAGCAGCCCAGGGCACCTGACCCGACCCTGTACTGCACAAACAAGGAATGGCATCCACCAGCTCTCCATGGGCTTTTCAGGGAGCACCCAGTACCATCAGAGATACTTTGTAGAGTATCTCCTTCAGGTGTCCTCACTGTGATTTTTTGGAAGTTAGATACTCACTTAGGTAGTTTTATTTTCTCACTAGATTCCCAGGCTCTGGGCTTTTTTCTCTCTACAACCCCTGCAAACGTTTATTTTTTTCCAGCAAAGCTTTCAGTTTGTTTCAGACTGGCCTCAGTCTTTGCTACGGAAATGTGCAAGAACATTTTCCTGTGACAAGCCTAAAACTCAGAACTGAAGATTAAGAACTGGGTGTGCATACACTCCTACTTCCCCCCTGTGTACTCTCCATTTTCTTAATTCACAGGCAGACATCCTGAGTCACAGGCTATTTCGTTCTGTTTAATAGTGCTAAATGAGTTTTTCATCCCCTCATTCATCTGCTTTTTAAGCTCATTATGTTCTGGCATCATGTTCTGCAGCAGTAATTTCTGATTCATGCACAGTGGGAAAAGTTGTTCCCTTTTGATTGTGGTTAACTTTTTATTTGGGAATTTTTTTAGTGCCCTGAGTTGTTCTGTGTGAGAAATAACAAGGCCATCTATGATTATACAGACCTGTGTGGTCTACAAAAGTCATGCTGATTCTTCCTGTTTTATCAGAACCATTAAAGTTCCTGCTAGGTTGGATGGGGAAGGTGCCATCAAATTACAAAGATGGATGAAAGTTTGGGACTGACAGCATCCCTCCTTTCAAAGGCTACAGAGCATCTTTCTTCACCGAGATGCTGACTTTTACCAAGGTTGTCACAAGTAAATGTCTTTGAATACTTTTGATGAGAGCTGGCCACACGTTCAGACTTGGGAGAGTGAAATCCAAAAGTTATCCAACTCCAAGCAGTGAAGCAGTGAGACTTTCTCTGATGGCACAGGCTGCACTAATACAGGGCAAGATTCTGAAATACTCACTATTTTCTC